ATTAGCCTGTTAGTGACATCAATAGCGACGTTCTTCGATTGAGATGCAGTAAAGTACAGAAGGTAACGGAACTCTTTCGCTCTCGGAATCACATCACTAATCGCCGTTTCATACTGCTCATGATCAGACTCGAAAAGAGAGGCCAGATACATACCGGCGAGATATTCCTGGAATAACTTGTGAGGGAAGAAGACATTAACGGTCACAGGAGGTGTCGTGTTTTTACGTCTATCACGTCTAGGAACTAATCGGTTTTCTTTACTTAGCACTCCAACTCTACAACATGTCTCCATTGCTTCTTTACATGAGCTGAAATCATTTTTGACATAAACTAATTTCTTGTCCACGACTCCAGACAAAGCAATTTTCCCAATTTGTTCGAAAAACAAGCTGAGCTGTTCATAAAATTGGATAACAGCTTCTGTATCTAGATCCGTAAACTGCTTGGAAACGTAGTGCTCTTTCAGGAATGAGATGATTTCTTGGAACAGCTGAGAAAATGTCTTCAGTCTTTGAATTAATTCTCGTTTCTTGCTATCAGAATCCCTCCATAAAGTACAAAGCATTGCAATGTAAATTGGAAAGGGAGCCATATTTTCTTGAATGACGTCATTGTCTTCAATGAATTTGATCAAATCTCGACTTGCCTGAGAGTCATCCGAAAAATATTTATTGATGTAAATTGAAATGTGTTTTTTATCAAATCCAGCCACGGCAATGAAAGCATATGTTCTCATGAAATTTGAGTTTGATTTGATTTGGTCTGCCTTCCAGGGCCGTGTTGTAACGAGGACCCTGCATTCCCTGAACTTTTCTGACCTGATTATCTTAGCAATATCGTTTCCTTGTTTGACAAGATCACCATCGTACTCATCCAGCCCATCAAATATAATGAATACCTTCGAGGGATTAGCCAATATGTATTCATCGATCTGGTGTGGCTGTACCGAGTTACTATCTGAGAGATATGTCTTTGCGATATCACCTACTGTTTGATTTATGTCGATGTCACGCAGAGGAATAACAAGAACCCAGACAAACTCTCTAAATTCATCAGCTCCATTTGTCCAGTCCCATGCCATCTTGGAACAAAATGTAGTTTTACCTGCTCCTCCTTCGCCTTCAACCATGAGGCGTTTGGGTAAATCCTCGTTTATCTTTGTTTTGAGAAGATCCTTGAAGTCTAAGGGTATCTTCTTTGTCATTCCCTGTTCGTTTCTGAAGAGAACTAGGTCAGTGTAAATGCTTTCGAATTCTAAAACTAAGCTGAAGTCAAGTGGGTCTGTCTTGATCTTGCATAACCGTGTTCGGTAGAAAGTTTTTAAGTCATCACCACAACGGGTAACCTGTTCCGCTGTGAGAGAATCCTTTTCGTTCGCGATGGACGCTAGGGGAGAAAATTATAATAATCTTTTAAATAAAGCGTTATTCGTCTATACTGTATCCCCAAAACAACATTTTGTATATTTTATGGTGCTTCTCACTTACCGTACGATACGTAGTTCAATGTCGTTTTGTTTCAGTAATGTACAGATTAAAGAAAAATGAGGGGAACAAAAAAAAAATCCATTTTAATATTTACCCAAGGATCAATAGTGTTTCTTTGAATTAGGATAATATAGGGTGTAAAGATAAATATTTCACACTGTTTAAAATATATAACAAGAATGTACTCTAATGGTTCTATGAAATTATTCAACTTTTCAGAGTACAAAGCTACGATTTTGTTTTCTATAGTCATTTTTGTTTATAATAGTCTAAATGCAAAAACAATTTTATGATGGTTTAAGTATCTAATATTCTAGTGGTAGGACAAAAACGGAATGAAACTATCAATAAAGGAAATTCCAAATGACACTTTCTGAGTGAACTCTCATTTTTCGGTATTTCACCCGACACACGATTACATAAATTGACCCCTATACATTCAGCGATTAAATAAAAATGATACACCGGTCCAAGTTCTCAGCCTACTTCTGAAAAACCGAAAAAGTTTCATAATGAATCTAATTATCACTGATCTGAGACGATATATAGTGGAGCAAACTATAATTACCAAGACACTGTCAAGATATGAAATTAATGTAGCCCAACACGTTTTAGTTATTAGATATTGAAACTGACATGTTCAATACCTTAACTAATTAATACTTGCTTACCTGTTGGGGCTGCTTCTTGCTGGTGATAGCCACCTGTTGGAAAAAATTAGTACAATCGTATTTTTTTTCTCAAATGAACTATTTATTATTTGATGGTGTCCATGAACAATCTTCATACCAATTCAGCGAAAACTCCCCCCTTATATTTAAGGAAAACATATGTACTGTTAATGAAATTTTAATCAAAATCATTTGGCTAGTGGTATTACATAATTGCTATGTCAACATAATACTTACAGCAATGCTGTTATATTGCATTATATTCCATATACTAAGAATCTTGCTCTCCAATTGGTCAAAAGTAAATCATGTGATAAAAGATAGATCATTGGTGGGGGGAGTACTATCCACACAGTGTAACGCACTTTCACTGAAGATATAAGTACTATCTACACAGTGCAACGCACTGTATACGTTGCGTATTGCGCTCCTCTTTAAGCGCTTTTAGTGTTAGTATGCAAACTTTGGTCACGCGCGAACTATATGTTCACACCACCATACTGCATGCACTGTGTACGTTTCGTACACGTTTTGCTAGTTGTTAATTGATGACCTGTTGCTCTAAAATGGCGGAAGAAGTGAAATGTTTCCGATGTGGAATATGAAGCAAAATATCACCTTTTGGTTTCAGAAGATGGCAAACTATCACTTCCTCGGCGATCTGAATGTATACGCTATCTTTCCTCAGCTTCGCTTCGGAAAGATAGCTACTTCCAGGTCGCCTCGGAATTGATAGTTTTTCCCATCACCTTCACCAACGGTAATTATTTGCTTACTATTACCAGGAAGCCATACACATTGCATATTTTTTATCGTACATATTAAAAGTAAACAATAGGCTTGCGGGTGCACCATGTGTGTGTGTGAGAGAGAGAGAGAGAGAGAGAGAGAGAGGGGGTCGAGGAGTCCTGAAAAGGACTCTGACGCGGTAATCTTTCTTGGGGGTTTGTAGTCCTGAAAAGCACTGTTTGTTATCTTTCTTAGCTTATAGTTCTGAGAACTATAGCGCTTGGAGAGGATGAGTGGCTCGACGTTTCGAACAGGTCGACCATCCGTCGTCAGGAGTATTAAAAGTACATCTCAATTTATTTTTCACCTGAAACGTGTTTTTGGTTCTTTTTACCCATTTTTCAATGCTCTTTATGTTCTTTAACAAAAAGGGGTTTCGCTTTGGAATTTGTATAATGCATAAAAAGTAAGATATTAATTTGTGTTGCTTCTGGGAAGTCAGATCGAATTTGTTAATAAAGAATCTATAAACTTTTTCATTGGGCTACATGCCAACAGCGCGTTTATAAAGCGACAAAACCTACATGTAAATTTCGAACAACAGCCTGTAGTAAAAAAAAGTTTCCTTGACCTTTCTATAGAGCACCAATAGGTTAATAATAATAATAATAATAATAATATGTCTTGTTTACCCAGGGTAGCCTCATCAGTATTCATACTGTTCTTCCTGAGGGCCCTGCAATCATATTATTACCCCGGTCATCGGATTCAGGTTTTCCCGCACACAATGTATGCACATTCTCCACTCCCTGGGGAGCATTCCAGCCAGGCGTCATTTTTACAAGCCCACACTTGCTAATCTAAGCACATTAGCTTTCGCATCCTACCGAGTGGCAAATGTAGATCAATGAATGAATTGATATTGGGTAGTTGTGCCTTTATTAGGCCTTTGAATATTCCAATTTTCCTGAGAATTTGTAGGGGAAGACTAATTCTTTCATTTCGGATTATAACAGTTACCTTTCAAATTTCCAAAATATATAATATGCCTGGCCGCCAAGGAAATGACAATAATGCATGCATAATGAACATCAATTAATGAAATGACATTATACTAATATTCAATATCAAGAAAGAGTCTTTAAGAAGTCATTGACAATAACTTCACCTCTGGAAAATTTGTCACCGAGTGCGTCCAGGTTTACACCACGGAGCGCCGCAGCAACGCCATTACGACAATCTGTGCCATCTCTCTGTCTGTTCTTCCATTCACAGAAGATCTCAATCAGTGATCCTGTGACATTCAAATGATTTTTGTTCAGAATGACTTGGCTTTGAGTGTACGATACACCAAGAGCAATGCACAACTCTGCGTATTTTGATGGAGATATATCGTACACCAGGTTTACCAGTTCTTGTTCTTGAATATTCGCTGATCTGAGTAAATAAGAAATCAGGAAAGATAACCTGCTATTAAAAAATATACACGTGGAAGAATGGATAAATTATGAGGCATGATTTTTAAGCAATATTCATGAGAGAGTAAGAAGAGGACTAACGGTTTCTCTCTACCATGAATAATCACAATTAGATAGAGAAGTGGGTATGATCTCTGGAAACTAGAATGACCGGTTTTACAAGTACATGTACAAGTATATACATCAAATCAATTTGGATCTGAAAGTGTCGCTGTTTTCTACATGCAAGTGTTCCATTCCTACGGCAATTTTACATGACATTTTTAGATAAACCCACATGTTTTTCCTTTTCTTCCTTAGTATTTACACTATTGGTTTATGCCTTATTTGCATTCAGTAAAAAGTAAAGAATCCCTTTCACAGGATGAGATATAAAAACAACTAAAAGTCCAGTTTCGGGAGATTCGTGGTGATCATAAACATTTGCTGGACTGTGGTAAATCCTCAATAGAAATAGAAACATGAAATATTATTAGGAATCTTGTGTACCGCCCTCCGCCCCCCCCCACACACAAAGGGGGCAACATCTCTACCTATCGAATGGACCTGGATTTAGCTCAACATCTCCAGCCTTTACCAACAGCATCTCAGGAAGGCAAGCGCTATCTTCTTTGACAGGATCATCAGTCGTTACTTCCAGAGTCCTGGGAACCTGACTTGAAATACTTTGTTTTCCGTCTGATAGTACCTATGAAAAATCATGGAAAGGCTGGATGAATGTACAATTCATATGTGCACATACGTCAGTCGTTATAGAACACACTAAATATGAATACATAGAAAACGAAAAAATTTGGACAGTTTTTAATAGAAAACAAAAGTTTGAGCTGATATAATTTTTCAGTACTGAGATATAAAATATTGAAGCTGAGAATTGTTTACATACATTTCTACACATATTTATACTTGTCTGGATATGTCACGTTATTTGCTCAATTTGTAATTGTTTCTACGTGTATTTCAAGACTTTTTAGTGAAATCCGAGTGGAAGAATATAACCTCGTGAAAATACACAAACCTTTTGGGTTCCGGATCCTATGGTATACTTTGCCTGCACGTTGTTTACTTTCATGGGTTGATTGTTTTTCTCTTCAGTAGGAGTTCTTGAAGGAAAGTTTTTCTCTTCAATAGCAGATATATGTGTAGTGATGCTCTCTTTTTTGGTAGATTCACCTCTAGAGTTGTTGTCTTTGACGGGAGATTCAATTGAATTGTCGTTGTATTTGGTGGTAGATTCAGCTGCAGCGTTGTTCTCTTCGATTGTAGATTTAGTTAGAGTGTTGCTGTCTTTGATGGAATTTTCTTTCGTAGAGTTGTTGTCTTTGTTGTCAGATTCAGGTGTAGTGTTGTTCTTTTTGTTGGTAGATTGAATTGGAGTCTTGTTGTCTTTGATGGTAGATTGAATTGGAGTCTTGCTGTCTTTGATGGTAGATTGAATTGGAGTCTTGTTGTCTTTGATGGTAGATTCATTTGGAGTCTTGTTGTCTTTGATGGTAGATTGAATTGGAGTCTTGTTGTCTTTGATGGTAGATTCAATTGGAGTCTTGTTGTCTTTGATGGTAGATTCAATTGGAGTCTTGTTGTCTTGGATGGTAGATTCAGGTGGAGTCTTGTTGTCTTTGATGGTAGATTGAATTGGAGTCTTGTTGTCTTTGTTGAAAGATTCAGGTGTAGTGTTGTTCTTTTTGTTGGTAGATTGAATTGGAGTCTTGTTGTCTTTGATGGTAGATTGAATTGGAGTCTTGTTGTCTTTGATGGTAGATTCAATTGGAGTCTTGTTGTCTTTGATGGTAGATTCAATTGGAGTCTTGTTGTCTTGGATGGTAGATTCAGGTGGAGTCTTGTTGTCTTTGATGGTAGATTCAGGTGGAGTCTTATTGTTTTTGACGGAAGATTCAATTGGAGTCTTGTTGTCTTTGATGGTAGATTCAATTGGAGTCTTGTTGTCTTTGATGGTAGATTGAATTGGAGTCTTGTTGTCTTTGATGGTAGATTGAATTGGAGTCTTGTTGTCTTTGATGGTAGATTCAATTGGAGTCTTGTTGTCTTTGATGGTAGATTCAATTGGAGTCTTGTCTTTGATTGTAGATTCAGTTGGAGTCTTTTTGTCTTTGATGGTAGATTCAGTTGGAGTCTTTTTGTCTTTGATTGTAAATTCAATTGGAGTCTTGTTGTCTTTGATTGTAGATTCAATTGGAGTCTTGTTGTCTTTGATGGTAGATTCAATTGGAGTCTTGTTGTCTTTGATGTTAGATTCAAGTGGAGTCTTGTTGTCTTTGATGGTAGATTGAATTGGAGTCTTGTTGTCTTTAATGGTAGATTGAATTGGAGTCTTGTTGTCTTTGATGGTAGATTCAATTGGAGTCTTGCTGTCTTTGACGGTAGATTCAATTGGAGTCTTGTTGTCTTTGATGGTAGATTCAATTGGAGTCTTGTCGTCTTTGATGGTAGATTCAGGTGGAGTCTTGTTGTCTTTGATGGTAGATTCAATTGGAGTCTTGTTGTCTTTGATGGTAGATTCAATTGGAGTCTTGTTGTCTTTGATGGTAGATTCAATTGGAGTCTTTTTGTCTTTGATTGTAGATTCAATTGGAGTCTTGTTGTCTTTGATGGTAGATTGAATTGGAGTCTTGTTGTCTTTGATGGTAGATTCAATTGGAGTCTTGTTGTCTTTGATGGTAGATTCAATTGGAGTCTTGTTGTCTTTGATGGTAGATTCAGGTGGAATCTTGTTGTCTTTGATGGTAGATTGAATTGGAGTCTTGTTGTCTTTGATGGTAGATTGAATTGGAGTCTTGTTGTCTTTGATGGTAGATTGAATTGGAGTCTTGTTGTCTTTGATGGTAGATTCAGTTGGAGTATTTTCGTCTTTGATTGTAAATTCAATTGGAGTCTTGTTGTCTTTGATGGTAGATTCAATTGGAGTCTTGTTGTCTTTGATGGTAGATTCAGGTGGAGTCTTGTTGTCTTTGATGGTAGATTCAATTGGAGTCTTGTTGTCTTTGATGGTAGATTCAGTTGAGGCGCCCGTTTCCTTAAAAGTAGATGCAGTTATAGTGGTGTTCCCTTTAATGTTAGATTCAGTTGCGATGTTTTTGTCTTTGGCGGTTTTTCTCTTTGCTCTTTTTCTCCTTACTCTTTTTCTCTTTAAAAATGTGTATTTTATGGTGGAGGGAGTGCTGTTCTCTTTGAGGGCGACTTCAGTTTTAGTGCTGTTCTTGTTGATGGTGGATTCACTTGGAGTGTTGCTATCTTTACTGTCCGATTCATTTGGACAGTTGTTTGCTTTGATGGTAGTTTCAGTTGTAGTTTTCTCTTTGGTCGTTTTTTTCATTGTCGATTTTGTTTTCAGTGTCAGTGTTTTTCTCGTTATTTTTCTTGTTGACAGTTTGTCTGTCATAGTTGCGAGGGTGTTGCCGTCTTCGATATGACGTTCTGTTCGAGTGATGCTGCCTTTGATTGTAGACTCGGTTAGAGTGCTGTTCTCTCTGATGGTAAATTTGGTTTTAGTAATTTTCTCATTGATGTTTTTTTTCTTTGATGTTGTAGTCTTTGATGTTTTTCTCTCTGATGGTCCATCCCTCATGGTAGAGAGAGCGTTCCTCTCTTTGATGGTAGCATTTGGTGGGGTGTAGTTGCATTCTTTGGTAAATTCAATTGTAGTGTTCCTCTCTTTGATTTTAGATTCAGTTGGAATATTGTTCTTTTTAGTGGTGTATTTAGTTAGAGTCCTCTTGTCTTTGATGGTAGATTCACTCGTAGAGTTGTCGTCTTTGATGGTAGACTTAGTAGGAGTGTTGTTATCTTTCATTCTAGATTCAGTCAGAGTGTTGTCCATTTTTATGGTAGATTTAGTTGGAGTGCTGTTTTCGTTGATGGTAGATTCGGTCTCAGTGTTGTTCTCTTTAATGTTTGATGCAGTTTGAGAGTTGTGCGATTTGATGGTAGTTCCAGTTGAAGTGTTGGTTGCTCCGCTCGTAGATTCAGTTGGAGTTTTGTTCGCTTTAAGTTTTCCGTTCTCATCCCCGACAAGCACCAGCTTAGCTTGCACGTCCTCATTGTTATTTATAACGCATGACAAAACAATGTAGGCCAAACTGCTGCACACAATTATTCTAAGACATGTACTCCTCCAGGTAGATTCACCACACCAGTTCAGAAAAGGCTTGTAACAATCTAGCAAATTTGACGAATCAACGACAAAGAAGAAGATCAAAGAGAACAATATAGAGAACAATGACAGCAACAGGATGAAGAAGAAAGGGAATGTAGAGTAATCTCCATTGCTCTTATGATTTGTGGTTGATTCCGTTTGAGTGGTGGTCTCTTCAATCGTAGATTCACTTCTACTTCTGCAGTCGTTATTAATGATACTATAATCATTTGAGGCATTATCTAATTTAGCGCACAAGTCGTCTTGCTTGGACTCGCATTTATCTTCAGATTTGTCCTTCTTTTCAAGGAGTCTCTTATGCAATAACTTAAGTCGCCGGATTCTCTCCCTCAATAACTTTTCTTTTCGCTCTCTTATGACGTACTCCCTGATTGAATGTACGAATCTTCCTATCCGCACCCGCCATTCACCAAGTGAAACAGGCATGCTGGATTCGTCTGGAAATCAATCTTCTGCTCAAGTGGTATTTCGTAACCTAATGACAAGAAAAGAGATAAAAATACGAGTTAAACGTATCATTTTTTTTTAATGAAGGAAAGAACATTGCAATTCATTTTCTCCCGTACGTTACCGACTATATGAGTTTAGTTTATCCGATAAATGTATCGAGTTCATAGCCCTACTAGAGCTAGAATCAGATGAAATTTGAAAAAAAATTATATATCATTCAGCATATTGCGAAGGGAAATTAGAGAATAATGGCTGCGTAGACATATGCGTAGACCTTTATTAGAGACATTTTATTTTACCTTTATAAAATATTCCAAAAGGGAAAACAGTAGTTGGGAACTTTGATTTTAGCTACGTAACTAGTATTCCCTATTCTCCTTTTGCATTGAATGTTTTCCACGAGAGTTGCCAAAGCTGTTGTTTAGGATATTTCCTCACATTTATATATGTAAACTGACATTGTGGGTGTATATAGTGTAATATAATGTGAACCATTTTCTATAATTTATGTTAGTTTAATGATTAACATTTCTTCCCTCAAAAACAGGCCCGGTCTATGTACCACAAGGGTCATGTTTGAATTTGATATGGGCCGGGTTATCTAATATTATCATAATTTGGTAGTTCAGAGCTTGACTTAGCCGATTCAAAGTTCAGTTAAATCATATTTACATTATATGATTTAGATCTCCCGATGCCTGATTCGTGTATTTGCAGTTGCAAGTGGGGATTGAGAGTTGGTATGCAATTATTTGAAGTCTCATCACAGGATTCCTAATCTAGCTGTGAATAGGCTAGGGGTGAGGGCGGTAGGGGTAGGCGAAAGAAAAAGATCCATAGTTGATGTGCGTATTGGAATGGAGGGGGATAATTCAACCAAATGTATCTATTTTTAAAATATAAAGTGTACAGCCATTCATATTTTTTTTAAATAGAGATGGTTACTAGAGTGGCAAAACCTCACCGGCACCCCTGACACCTGACTCCCTCACAGTCTCCTTAAAACGTAACTTATATTCTTCGAAAAATCTTATGAAACATATTTTGATGAGGGAAAAATCGAAAACTTTATAATAAATTTAATTTTCCAAGCCCCAATCTGCATAAATGATTTTTGCTATTTCGTGTTAATAATGTGTTACTATAACCATATGTGAGAAATTACTCCCGATTATTAAAAAAAAAGAATGTTTAATAAATATTATCGTAAATATACACAATAATTTGTATAAGATTGCCCTGTAAAAGCGAAAGATTTATAATCATCTGATCGTTGCATGTACACCCATTTGCTGTGTGCGGTGCATGCGATATTCAGCAAGCCCGAGTTTGTTGATAGCCCGAGTGAATTTCTTTTCCCTGTCATTACAAAATATCAAAGTACATTTCAATTATTATGTAGGCTTATACAGTAGGCCCTTATCCCCCCATTTCTTCCAGACAGCTTCTTTAGCAATGTAATTGCATAACCAGAACTCAAATTCATCTTGAAGTAGTATATTGGGATTTGTAGTCGATGGACTTGCGTGCAGCCTCATTTGCCTAGTTCTATTCTGCCTCAGCTGCCAAACGTTTCTTCAAAGACTTTTTATTAGTTGATAACCAACAGAATTATCCAAAATATATCTAGATTTTATTTTCGTTATGCCTGATTAAGAACATCAAAATAAATGTAGGCTAAATATCGTTTCATGTAGTCCCGTATCACTTCTGAGTGATTTTTACAGTTATAACTCAGGTTATACGTTTCTTGATATCACGTTCAAATCATGGATTAAAATAATGATAAGAATAATTAATTTTCCTCCAGAAGAAATAAGCATGCAATCATTAATGTAATAAACAAAAATCGATCCATACAGGAATATATGAATGTAATATTCTGCTAGCCATCAAAATCAAGGTGTTTATGTGTCGGGGGTTTAGATAGGAGTTTCTATTTTTGTTTATGCCTGATAAAGAATATGAAAATAAATGTTGATATCATGTCCGGTAATCCCGCGTCGTTTCTGAGTGATGGGTGAAGTTTGCGTGAGATCGGTGAGGTTGTAAATCCCTCCGAATCATGTTAAATCATTGTATTACAAAAATAAAAGCTGAACAGTTTTCACCAAACTTGTCATGCTTGTGTATGTTGTCTCATATACCGCTTCCAATGCGCAGTGCATGTGATCCTGAACAACGTTGATTATATTATACTTCCAGTACTTTTCTACTTTTCCCTAAATTATTCCAAAACTTCACGGTACGCATCAGTTGTAATTTTTTTAATCAATCGTTCTCAAGTGATTTCATACAGTTTTATTCACAATATTATTACATGACAACTACTCAACATTGTATTGAAAATGTCCATTGTGATTTATAGCCGTTCTAGTTGATTGTAAGCAAAGTTTCTAAGGGAGTTTGAGCCCCTGACTCTCCTCATTCCTCTTCATTGCCGCCTTATGTCTATTGCCATCCCACCTCAACTGACAAGTCTATGATTTTATGGGTGCTAGTAGTTCATGAATAACAGAATTATCAAAAATATATGAATACCCTATCTGCGTTATACCTGATATAAAATATAAAAACAAATGTAAATATAATTTCGTGCAATCCCGCGTCGTATTTTAGTGACCTTTGTAGTTTGCGCAAAATAAACAAGGTAATACATCCCTTGGTATCATGTTAAAATCACGGGCTCAGTTTAGTTCATATCAAAACGTTTGTGTAACTGAACAGTGCTCGTTTCATTAGCAAAAAATGTTATATGGAGAATGACGTGAAAAACGCTCTTTTTTTACATCCATTTCCATTCTACTAAAGTACCACATAATATTTTGCCTAGATTGACTAGTACAATACGACAAAGACTACGTTCTTTCGGGTAAAGCGAACAGATTATAATTTCATTATGATTTATTATTGTGTTTTATTTGTTAAAGTAGTCAATTTATGCCTAGGTCACATTTGCTTTGCGGCTAAGATACGGTGGCCGTACGCCCCCGAAATCAAGAGATACTTGCGGCGGCCGAAGAGAATCTACGTTGGTCTCAGGGTCACCCTAGGTCGTATCCCTATCTTTACAGGCCGTACGGGTCGCCGTGGGATAATAACGCGGAGTTATAAATTTTCATTCTAGGTTCACCATTGCAATTAGACACGCCGTAGAGCGGTTCCACGGCGACCATACGTCGAGCGGACGATGGCCTTGCGTTTGCAGTGCGGCAGTCCTAGGGTTTGCAGAACCCAATAGAATTGCGGCGGCCGCAGGAATTCCACGGGCGCCTTAGGGAAACCTTAAGACGACCGTGCGTTATCACTTCAAAGGCCGTACGGTAGCCGCAGGTTTTCTGTCTCCACAAATTCAAAATACGCCGTGCGGCTACCCTGACTGCTACCGTATGTGAACGTGGAAATGTTGCGGCGGCACTTTTATTGCTATTGGCCGTAGATAGTTTAGACCGCACGGCCGCGACGGCAAATGTGACCTAGGCATTACTGTTATTTTTAGCTCGTTTTCTTTGTAAAATCAATGGATCGGGCGACGGAGCTTTATTACCATGTCACAATTTGGCATACTTCTAATTTTTTAGTTTGAGAAAATCTTTTTCTAGGTGATTTAATCTTTCCATACCATATAAGACTCGTTTTGATTGATTAATGTTACCACCGCGTCTCCAAGATGTAAGACCATCACATCTTTGCCAAGCGAAAGTTTTTTGTGAGATGATTCAGTTTGAGAACTGCGTCGCCTAAACCGTGTGAGTCAAAAAAGGTTTACACCTAGCAAATTGCTAATTATTTTAAAATTCATCTATGAACAATAAATTATTGTACAATTTATGAAAGAGTGTTTTATCCTAAATCATTTGGTATCATTTTTATGTGGTATGTATTCACGCTTGGATGAACAGGAGGCATTGTTTGCGAGAGTGCAAAAATCGACTTGATGCCTATATACAGTATGTATTATGTTGGAATTAGTGGAGTGAGAGAAAGAATTGAATGTATCAAATGAAATGCATTACATATGCTTTTTGCAGAAGCGGAGTCAGAAAAACACACGCGCACAAATGTTCGTTGATTTTTTTTATTTTCCATATTTGATATGTGTGGCATGATTAATTTTGTTAGGGATGTTATTTGGATCTGCAAAGACCGAATTAATACCCAAATCCCAATTGTTTTATTCAAACATCACATAAGCAGCTTTGGCGCAAGTCGATTTTTGCAATCTCGCAAACAATGCCTCCTGTTCATCCAAGCGTGAACACATACCACACAAATGATACTAAATGATTCGGGATAAGACACTCTTTCATAAGATTTATAATATATAGTTTACTGTTCATAGATGATTTTTTTAAAATAACAAGCAATTTTCTAGGTGTAAACTATTTTTGACTCATACTATGTAGTCTCTCGGTCATATTTATGTATTTGCTCTAGATGTCTGATTTGGATAACAATAACAATATTAACTGGCTTGACTTTCGGTGGAGACCACATAAATTGCCCTCACAAGACCGATATTGCCCTCGTCTTTGACTCGGGGCAATATGAGTCTAGTTTTGGAAATATATGTGATATCTCCATCAAGGCCAGGCCATATTATATAAATAGACATTGAGAAAAAAGCGTAACAAGGTTTAAAGTAGACCAGCCAAGACGTGAGATTTTAATAAATGGGAACGCATCATTGGGTGATGCATGGCAACCACCCCCTATCTTAATTTTCAATCTTTATGCAAAAGTTTTAGCACGGATACCATGCATCAACTTAAAGATGCCATGGCATTTTTTTCTAGAGCCTTTTTTATTTTTGGCTGGTCTACTATCAAACCATGGATCAATACAAAACCACTTTGTGAATTCCGGCGATTAGATGTAAATAAGGAAGCGTACAATCTTTCATAGGATCTGTACAGAAAGTGCCAGGAAGCCCCTGTACCCCTTTTCTTCTCCTTGTGTATTGCACCCTCTGTAATGCAAACCGCTAAGGTAACCTTTTTAATGCTTTCATTTCCTCTTTACAAGGTTGCTCGTTTGCCACACGTGGTAATTTGCACAAATAATAGGCACCAAATGACGGAAGGTTTGCTTTGTGCATGCAGAACAATGGCAAAATGCAAAATAAACCCTTTTCTGACCCTAGTTGATAAGCCGCATGCCACCCCTTTTAAACCGGTGTAGACTTAATGTGCACTGAAAACAGTCATTAATCTTGAGGACTCTGGCATAAATATTTGTATCTATATCATGATACATGTAAATATAATGTGACAGAGGAAGACTTTTTGTGGTGCATATTAAAGAGTTAAATGGTAAATGTTAAATGGTAAATGGTAAATGTTAAAGGTATTCTTAACAAAAAATCTAAAGAAATTTATTTTAAAGTGGAAAATGAAAAAAATGATCCGTTTTACTTCCACGCAATAAGTAGGACAAAAGGAAGATAAATTATCCGACTTCAACTAACATGTCAAAGCAGGTTACATGGTTACGACGTAGAAAACTGAACAATCTACGTTTATATGGTGCGATTAGTTAATGAATAAAAGAATTATAAAAAAATATAGAGATTATATTTGCGTTATGTCTGATAAAGAATATCAAAAGGAATGTAAACATCATTTTGTGCGATCCGGCGTCGTTTCTGTTTGAACTTTGTAGTTTGCATAAGATAAGTAATGTTAATGTTAATACGCCGTACAAATCTTAATAAAAGTTGCCCAGAAGTTGTGTAGTAGATTTGCCAATTTTTATTTAGTGTAAGCAATGGTCTGTAATATTGAGTATAGAAAGATGAACAAATCCGGAGTTTATAGAGCGTAAAGATCTAGACGGCATATTTAGGATGGGGTTCTGTTTTGTTGGTCTTGTCTTAACGTCATGATTATTGAAAAATTGAACAATGACCTTTATCTGTAGTTTCGATCTTAAAACAAACTAGTTATGTAGTTGATGTACGCCAGGGGCCTTGCAATAGGCAGTTCTGGAACTGAAAATGCCACCATGACTCAAAATAAGAAGCAATGTGTTACATCAATGAATGAATGATCATTCTACTCGCTTGCCGACTTGTTTTCATGGTTTCATCTTGCCTGAACCGCAGACATGTTATTCCTGCTTTAAATAACAAATTTACGCTCAAAGGATGACACTAAATAATGAGTAACAGAATATGTAGATTCTGTTTGCATTATATTTAATAAACCCTATGAAAATAAATGTAAATATCATTTCGTGAAAATGCGCGTCATTTCTGAGTCATCTTTGTAGTTTGCGTGCGATTAGTCACTTTCTCTATCCTTGCATGCCATGATAAATGTATATGTCAATAGCATTACTATTTACCAAGGGGGGGGGGGGCCAAACGTGCCCCCCCCCCCAATTTTTTTCTCCAAGATTGGTTGAACTTTTGCGGACCCCTCCCCAGGACGTCGATCGATTACATGTATGTGCCCCCCCCCCCCCAACATCAAACTCTGGCTACGGGCCTGATAATATTGAAGGAATTCCCAAACCTAAACTAAATGCAGTCGCTAACAATCACATGCTGATGCCTGTTAAATAACAAGGTCAAGCAAATTCTTGAAATCAAATCTAGCTCTAGTGTATGTTAATTATTAAACAGTCATTCTGTCGCTCGAAAGTGTCATTTATTTTATCCAATAATGCTACTTGTATTATACAATCGTAGATAAATATCCATGAAAGATGTGAGAGGCAAATACTCCTATGATACCGTTACATTCGATTATCAATAATACGTTTCACTTGCGTATTGAGTTATGTCCCTCAACCCCCGTCACACTTAAGGCCGATCGAGCGGGAATGCCGTCGAAATGAAAATTCTTGGTGTATTCGAAGTGCATTCGAATTGCATTCTAAAAATTCTGAATGCATTCCAAACATTCGGGCCTATATTTTTGTGGCCGGCCCGAATATTTTGCTCATGCTCAAAACTTTCTAGGTGCATTCTAATTGCATTCTGACTGCATTCTAAATATTCTTATGGCATTCCAGCAGCATTCGAAACATTCTGATCACATGAGTACTTCTGAGTACTTCCTGTGGACCCCTTTGAAAATCAACTTAAGTTGAAAGGGCAATCCACCCCACATGTGGAAATAAATAAATAAAAAACATTCGAGGGAGAATCGAAACGGCAAGCCACTTCAAATCCTGCCAGCTTGTCCCGGAATGCAACTCGAATGCATCTCGGAATCTATTTCGACAGTACTTCCTTATTTAGTACCCCAAGCATGCCCATTTTTACTTTGGAAAAGTGCAAAATTTCTTTTTTGACATTTTCCTCCTTCTTATACATAATTGTACTTGCCCCCGTTAACCTAAGACAAGTGCCCTTATTGCCCCTTTTCGTTTCAAATAAGTATCCCTTTCCTTACTTGCAAATGCCCCCTTTTACCTCTAAAAGTCGTCTCAATTCAAATCTGATAATTGCCAACTTTTATTTTGACAAGTCCCCCTTTTAATTTTTCGTGAGGGACCTTTTCTCTTCCGATAGATGACCTTTTTCAAATCTAACGTGTCCTTTTTCAAAAGTTATGAGTGCACCTCATCCAATGTGATAAGCGCGAATTTTCAATTATGATATGTTAGCCCGGTTCGTTTTGATCGGTGCCCCTCGCCTTTCCTTTCTGTTATCTGCCATTCTAGTATACTCTTACATTATAATTTCAATCTAGGTATTATGTCTTTCTCCAAGTTGCTCTCGGCTGACCCTTACGGTGTTGTGTATCTTCTACTTTTCCTTGCAACAAATATTTCAAGAGACAATGTTGTCTTAAATATTACCAAAATCGTTCTTTCTTTCTTTGATTATTTCTACAAGGATATTCTGTTTGAACACCTGACATTATCTGTTATATTTGTGCTGGATAGTTGCAATTATTGACCAGTTCGATTAAATGGCCGTCTAATTGCAAACAGAATATAGGCTATTCCTCTGCCTTACTCAAACTCGTAGACGTGACGTTCTGAACATTCATATTTAGGCCAAACTCTTCACCTTTGACAGCATCCAGTGATTTGTGCATATCTTCCTCCTTTTCTACACACCGTCAGCACAGCACAAATCACTGGTGTTAAAACATCCAACACTGACACTCTTCATATCTGCAATTTCCTTGAAATATCAACTTTGTGCACAGTTTGAACAAAGTGGAGGACAATAATCCTCTTTTTATATCTGTATAGCTTGTAATTTCATTGTTGATTTTGACAGGAGCTGTTTGTTCCTAAATAAATGCAGTTTAGAGATGAGATGCACGTTCTTATCCAAAGGTTACTCTTGTATGTGCCTCTTTTCCCGCCGAAAACATGCCCGTCTTGTTGGTGCCACCCCTCCTTTGAAAGGCACTTCGCCCCCACCATCCATATACTCTGCCACTTATTTTGTATGCCAAAGAAGAAAAAATGAACTATATAGTGTCTCAAAATATGCGAATACTCAGTTGCTCAGTTAGAAATACACATAGAAATGAGTTTCAATACGAAATTTCTCTCTGTTTCTCTCTTTCTCCTCTCCTTTTATCATTCACCTCCTTTTAGTATTAACACCATTCTACCCCCTCATTTTCCCCCTTATTCTCACATAGATATTTTTTAATCATTGCATTCACTAGTTCTTTTTATCCTCTACCCTCCATTCTCTCTCTCTCTCTCTCTCTCTCACACACACTCTCTTTATATCTCCCCCTGTACCTTCATCTCTTATTCTTTATTTATTTGATATCACGTCTATATGTGTATTGGTACAATGTGTAGTGTTTGTTGATGTATGCTTCGCTGTTTATACTCAACTTTTTTTGTACATTCCATGTTTATAATATTATTATTAATCCCTTTGTATATATTCAGCCGATGCTGCTCGTTAATTTTTGGATACAAATAAATCAATGAAAAACTCAATACAAAAGTAAATAATTATCATCATCATTAGTAGTATTGCTTACAGCTACAACAAGCTTATTATTTAGTCTATTTCTATATGACAATTAATTAAATTTCTAAAATAAAAAAATGTAAATGAACTACTCACGTTCTGTGTATTTCAGTAGGCCTTCAAATTCGGGTCGAAGTCATCATGCACTGCCTTTAGTTTAGATGAACGACGAGTCGTTTCGATGTAAAAAATAATTGAGGAATAATGAACTATATACTACTGGTTGACACGTCTAACGATATAGTCAGTAATTAACACGGCGTTGCATAGAGCTCAGCTTGACGTAAACTGGGATAATGACGATTGACGCGACCTATTAAAACATGAGTCTTTTGAAATAATTCCAGTTTTTGACACAATTCAAGTCATTTTTTGACTGTCCGGGTTTACTTGCATTGGAATCACCTAATGCGCTTTATAACCTGCTTCAAATAGACCAATTTATAGCAGTCCACGAGAAAGAAATAACATGCATTAACGGCAAGTCCTACCAAACGGGATCATATCGATATTTGTGACGGGTTTCACTTATGGACCTGGTGCTGATGTCATAAATCTCGTAACCCCCAAAATATGTGTGCGTGTGTCTTGTGTGGAGATGGTAATGTATGTTGAAAGAAAACAGCCCTGCATAGGTAGACCCATACAGGCATTTGGTAGATCATTTTCCCTGGAACTTCAAAACACTTTTTGACAAATTGCTCCGGTTGTCTCATTTTCGCCAGCACAAACCTATCTAGTTCGCCTTCTATAGAACGTATATAGCAGACGGCAATCGGCGGATCAGACGACACTTGATAGTGATTTTGTATGTGAGATTGCTTTGCTAAATATAAAATACAAGAACCTTTTCCATATCTTTAAACTATCATTGATATCTGATAATTAAACAGTTAGTAAAATAAATCTACCAAACTACATAATACAGTGAAATACTTGACTGAAAGTAGGGGAGTTTGATATGGTGCAAAATTGCACCCCTCTGTTAATAATCGAATAGTCCATGGTGTTCATGAATATTCATGTTTTTGCTTGCCTATACTAAATGGAAAAATTACGGTGGGGGGGGGGGGTTGAATGACATGGACATAATGAACAAATCAGAACTGATCTATGATAATTCATGCTCCTTATTCTTCGTGTGCTTAAATTATAACCTTACAATCGAGTAGGAAATTGTGTCCAAAGTTCGACTTGTTGCACATGAGTTATATAGGTAATGGGGAGCTGGCGACCTATTTTGACCAAATTACGGTGGGTGACTTTCAAAAGTCGATGGGACATGGCCACATGAGGGTTCCAATGAAAGAGCTAGTGATAACGTACGTCGGGGTGGATGTGCTTTTCTTTAAAAAAAAAAAAAAAAAAAGAGTTTTTAACGATTTTTGTTGTTGTAAAAGTCCATAGGTTAACATGTTTGTAGGCTGCTAGACTCTGACGATAGGGGGCGTTGTCAAATGAGACTAAACGGAGCTATATGCTCCGGGAAATCTAGCTGCTGGCGAATCGAGAGAGAGAGAGAGGCAATAAATGAGTGTGTGAGTGAATCAGAGAAAGAAAGAGAGAGGGAAAAGAATTACTGGGTGAGTGAGCTTGTGTGTGAGAGAGATTGAATAGAGAGAGAGAGAGAGAGAGATAAATTGATTGAGGAGGTGCGCGCGTAGTCATGAGAGAGTGATAGAGAGAAACGGAATGGGAGAGAGAGAACGAAATAATGAGGTGGTGTGTACCAGGTGTACCAGGCGTTGCCCCCCTGCATAAAGAAGAGAGAGAGAGAGAGAGAGAAGGAGAGAAAGGGAAAGAGGAGAGAAAGGGAAAGAAACAAGAGGAAGAAGAAAATATAAGGAGGAAAGGAGATCGGGGGGGGGGGGCAAAAGGCCCTGCCTTCCAGGCTTTTGCCTCCCCCCCCCCCCCCCCCCCAGTCAAAAAAAGAGAGAAGGAAGGAAAGGGAAAGGAAAAAAGAGAGAGGGAAGGAAAGGGAAAGGAAAAAAAGAAAAGAGGAAATAAAGGGAAGGAAAAAAAGAAAAGAGGAAATAAAGGGAAGGACAAAAAGTGGAAGAAGATAAGAAAAGAAGGAGGATATCAGTTGCGATTTTCCCGCCAACAAGTTGTGGATCGGAGGGGGCCAAAGGTCCTTGCCTCCCTCCCCCCTCCCCCATCAAACTTAAAAGAGAGAGAGAATGTAGGAAGGAAAGAGAAGGGAAGAAGAGAGAGAAAGGGAATGCAACAACAAAAAAGAGGAAGAAGAAAGGTATTGGAGATCAGTAGCGATTTTTTTCCCGCCAACAAGGTGTGAATCGGAGGCCGAAATGCCCTTGCCTCCCCTCCCCCCCCCCCCCCTCAGCAAAAAGAAAAAGAAGAGAGAAAGAGAGAGAGAGAGAAAGAGAGAGAAGGGAAGGGAAGGGAAAGGGAAAGAGGAAAGAAAGGGAAAGAAAATAAAGAGGAAGAAGAAAATAAAAGGGGGAAAAGAAGGGAAGATCAGTTGCGATTTGTATCGCTTCTTCTATCATCATTGTACAAAAATCATTGTACAAATGTATTTAAAATATATTTATTTATTTATTCCTGTTTGATAACATTGATATGAATATAAACTCATAACAGCAACAAAAGAAAATGCAGATTAAAACTATATTGCAGGCAGAAAGAAACGCAAAAATGACCATGCATTTGCATGTAAGTGTATCATTAGAATTAGTAATATTGTTCTATAACATCTTTGGAAATATTATGCATTCAAGCTTTTGGAACTTTCTTTGTGTATTTGTATCAAAGAAAGCGTTAGGAACTTAAATGCACATGATGCAATTTCAGGTGCAATTTAATGCGTGAAACGCCTTGGCGAATACTCGAATACTCTTTGATTGTTGTTTAACCTTTTATACAGTAATACAGATAGGCACTAATATAGCACATCGACACGGTTTTGATCCTGGGGGCTCACAGTAACGAGGCCATTGCTTAGCCAATGAATCATGACTGTACGCAGCGGGCGCTAGGGTACGTCGACGCCCCCACAAAAACAAAAAAAAAAACACACAAAGAAAATGCAATACATTTTCAATAATTTATTGCTTTTCCCCCGACCCCCAACATTAAAACTTCTATGTGGGCATGCCTTGAACCATAATGCATGGCCCTACAGGGCTGATGGATCATGGGTTAAAACCATCTCAAAGCTCATTCCGTTATCCACGCCTGCCTTTGCATGGATGGGTTGCCAAAGGAACGGCGACACTGGGTATGGCAGTTGCCGCGTTCCAGGTAACTTTTCACATTTAATTTATTTTAATTGATATCACTTAATTTTTCGTACCACATAGCTATAATAAAAGTACATTATACTTTTAATATGGTGCGATGCATAATATTAACAAATTCAAACAATATTATAGTAGAGGTATCATGGTCTAGTAGATATGTTACTGGACAGCGGATCACAATGGTTCTCAGTTCGAATCTCACCGCGGCACTATTGTCCTTTGGCAAGGAAATTATCGACATTTGCAACTTGATGCGATGTAGTTGAATTAGAGCATGTGTGCGCTTGTAAAATGACGCCTGCATGACCTTTAGTTTTATCTGAGGTTCTTGCTGATAAGGATGTATGTCTTACCAAGGGGCACTAGTGCATAGGCCTGGTTTCGAACGAAGGACCTCCCGGTTACGAGACCACTGCTCTACCACTAAACAACCACGCCTCCTTTCATTTGAACTTATTCCAGATTGCTCGAGTAATCCCTGTCTAAATGGAGGCCACTGTGGGGAAACCGTGAATGTTTTCGTTTGTCACTGTCAGGCTGGAGTATCTGGATCCAACTGCGAAACAGGTAAGAGGGGTCAGGGACTCCAACTGCGACTACATGATGTGAAAAGAGAGGGCGTGGAGGGTGGGGGGGGGGCAACTGAGGGGCGAGCGGGCCGCCGGGAGACAATTTTTGTTCTTCTTCTTCTCACGAAACAATGGCAAAACGAGTCAGTGAATGCTTATGTACTGACTTTTGTCAATGTTCGGAATTTTAATATATTTATGGCATTTATAATTATAATCAAGTATATTTCACTCCCATAGTGTTAAGGATATAGAAAAGTTTTTTCTTCTTCTCACGAAACAATGGCAAAACGAGTCAGTGAATGCTTATGTACTGATTTTAGTCAATGTTCGGAATTATAATATACTTACGGCATTTATAATTATAATCAAGTATATTTCACTCCCATAGTGTTAAGGATATAGAAAAATATACTAGAACCACCGTCTATTTTAATCTTTAACACGAGACTGTTAAAATGAATATATTATTTCATGTTTTGTGTAAAGAAAGAATAATTAAAATGAAAAAGGCCTTCAATTCTTCATTTTTTTAAATTCTTGTGTGTTTTTTGAATCACTGATCCTTAACAAAAAAAAAACTGCACACTTTTGTCGGTGTGAAATAATCTTAGTACAAGATGGATAGATAGAAATGTTTTTTTTATTAAAAAGATCATCGCAGCCAATGGCTGAATTGCGATCCATTTCACAAGGTTATATACAGCACGATTGCAATTCAAATTGAAATAACACAAAATATGACATAAATCAATAATCAAACATATAGACATTTCATAAAAATTCTTTGATCAAATTAAAAAATTTTGTTTAAAAAAAAAAGAGAGAGAAAAAAAGAAAGAGATAGGGAGAGGTGTAGGAGTGGGAGCGATGGAGTGATGACAAAGAGAGAGAAGGAGAGAAAGAGCGAAAGAAAGAGAGAGAAGGGGGACGAAAGAGAGAGAGAGAGAGAGAGAGACGGAAAGAGAGAGAGAGAGAGAGAGAGAGGGAGAGAGAGAGTTGAAGAGAGGAAGAGACAGACAAAGGGTACCTTATCATTACAGATGAGGGGAGATGGCAAGAAATATTCAGTAATGCAGATAATTGAGATAAAAACTATCAAAATTCATTCACATAGTTCAATCATAGACTGTGAAATTCTAAAAATACAATTTATATTGGTATTACATTTTATTCAGAAGATTTATAAAGTAAGGAAGAGAGCTGCAAGAGTTATCCAAGGTTTTTCCATTGTGTTTGCTACCTTTTATGAGTTGATATATTGAGATCTCTCGATTAAAAAAAACCCTCATGAAAATCGATTGACAGCATAATCAATCGCGCACCTGTAATTATCCATTTCATTTTCACCAAGCAACCAAAAGGATGCAATGACATTAAACTAATTTTACACCCATTAGGCGAACGTTATTAAAGGAAGGCAGCCTTTCTTTTTTTTCTCTAAATGACCCAATATGAGTTTTAATTGTCACATGCAGGGTTACGCCTTGTCGCAATACAGTGACAGGGCGATGGAGGAAATGAGCATTGAGATGAGGAGGGCAAGAGAGAAAGAGAGACAGAGAGAGGGGAAGAGGTACAGACACAGCGAGAGGAGAAAGAGAGAGAGAGAGAGAGAGGGAGAGAGAGAGAGAGAGAAGAGAGAGAAATTATAGAATGAGAGAAAGAATGAGGTTTAGTGAAATATAAGTATAAGTATAATAAGTACAATAATTTATTGTCCTTTTTCAGGAAATTTGGTTTCCACTGGTTATAGAGTATTACAATACAAATATATAAATGAAATATTACAGGACAGTGATAAACATATTACGATAAACATATAATGAATATTACGAGTAAGCCACGGTATATATGGTGGTTATAGAAGTAATATCAGGTTCCATTTTACAAAATATGAAGCTAAATTATTTAATATCATTGATTATTCCATAGTAAATCTTAAATAATGATAATGAATACATACATTATTATTATTATCATTGTTATTATTATTATTATTATTATTATTATTATTATCGATTACCATTTTCAGTAGTATAATTATTACCGACATCGTTATTATTGCTAACTTTTTTGGTGACACATAGATTGTAGTTACTGGCTCAATTGGTAACTGATAGTTCGATGCAATATTCATGGCATATGTTTGAAATTGATATTATATGACATTTATATTGATACATTGACATGGTAGGTTCATTGTAATCAAACACGTTTTGCTTTGGAATTGAAAAGATGAATGGAGTCGGGGATAAAGGATCTTCGGAAAAGGGCACGTTGAGTTCGCGGTGTGCACAGAGAAATAGGAAAAATGAGTGATACGGAGAGAGAGAGGGGTAAAGAGAGAGAGAGAGAGAGAGAGAGAGGGAGCTGAAAGGGAATACAAAAAGGGCGAAATTTAGTACTAAAAGTGTGGGGCGAGAGAGACAGACTGAGACCACATTTGTTCAAGAGCTAGAGATACAGACCCAAACATGAGATACATACAAACATACAAGAATAGCATTTGTGTCTTTTGATGATCATGCACAAGTTAAATCACTATCCCAACATGAAACTAAATTATACTTAGAAATGGTCTCGATTTTTTTTATATATACAAAATATAGCTTTGATTTATCTATTAACTTTGCTTCGTAATTAGGCTATAATTATGCATCAGTACCCGGGTTTCCTCGTTCATGGAAGCAGACAATATACAGTGCATAATTAATATCCCCAATCGATAGTCATGTCGGAGACCATCAACGCCGATTAAAGAGGTGAATAGAATCATTGTTTTGCAATCTTCTCGCACGGCGATAGCTTTAATTAAATGTCTTGACGACACCCCAACACCACATAACGTTTGATGTGTATTGGTGATCCAGCCTTTGACCAGAATTCCAGAAGAGAGCATTATTTTGTTCTCATCATTTCAGTTTGATGATTGTTTTAGCGGCATGCAACACGAATTTGAAGTCTCAAATGATGACGTCATCGTTACCATTGATAATAATTATGGGACAGGTAAGAATATTACTGTTTCCATTAATTTCTGAATTTTTGTGTAACATTAACGTTTAATTTTAGCCATTTGCCGACAAAATGTGAAACATGCCATTCAGAGTCTCTATATAATTATTATAGGCTTATCCATTTTAGGGCGTTCTTGCAGCTTTCATTTGACTTCGGTGTTTGATCAAATGAAAGTGTCTTTGGAGCATTATTGTCATGTAATCTAAAATGTAGTTATTCTTTAAAATCAAAGGAACGATGGTAATGATATCTAAACAGCTATTAATTTGAATTGGTTCTTGCGATAGAGTCCACGTTTAGGCTGAAGCAAGTTAATATGAAATGAAACGCTGGTTTTTGTTTTGATTTGTTTTGATTTGATATGATTAGTTGTTGTTTACTTTATAATTTTTACCTTATTATTTGTTGACTGTATAATACCAAACTACGGTATTTCTTTTTTTGATCAGTCCGTTATGATAGTTAATCAACTGAGAAAGACGTAAATAACTCCCATTAGCCGTGTACAAAAATATCATTAATTTCTGTTTTTCTCGTAAGTTCCTTCACCCTTGGGGCACTACTCAAAATATATTATAGAAAGCATATTATATATTATAGGTCCTCTATAACAATAGACCCTCCTGAGCAATGAATTTACACAAAAAACAGGTGGGAAAGTAGTCCGGCACAACATCACATATTTAGTCAGATTTAACTGATACTTTAGTAGGATTTCCCTTTAATTGAACTTATCACATGTAGCTAGTTTACAATTATGGTTTTAAACGGTTAATTTGCACACTTTGCTATGTCATTTTTGTTTGTCCTGCACTTTACCATAATTACTACTTCAAGCTACTGAAAAGAACAGTTAACATGCTATCATTTTTCTTTCATGCAGGAAAATGTTTGTCAGAAGATATGGACGCTCGTTTTAATAAGCATAGGTAAGCATTTCCTAATAACTCTAAGATATTTTGAAACAGCCACTGCTGAGAAAATCTATGTGCATTTGCTATGAATATTCTAAATTCGATTTGATAAAGAAAGAAAATATGATAAAGAGAAAATTAGCAATATAATTTGGTAACGATGTTATGGTAAATTATAACTAAATCATTATTGTATGAAACCACTTCGAATATTCATCATTTCCAGAATTGTTATTAGTAATGGTCAACTTCTAACGGTATAGAATAATGTTCTATTAATTTTGATAAACAACCATTGCTACAACGACTGCTACTACTATGACTGGTAGTATAAAAGTGATACTATTAACTACTTACCACTACTAATACTACTCCCATGCCTACTGTATACTACTACTACTACTACTTCCACACCTACTACTACTACTACTACACTACACTACTACTACTACTACTACTACTACTACTTCTACTATTATTACTATTACTACTACTTCTACTGTTACAATACTACTTAGGATAATAATGATGATGATGATGATGATAATAACGACGACAGTGATGGTGATGATGATGTAATGAGTCGTTTCATCTGCTTGGAATAAAATAGACAGGTAAAACAACATTTATTTCCATATTTTGACTTCAAGTTTCCCAAGCCACTTCTGCTTCTGCTGTACTTGACACAGCATGTCAGACTGAACCTTCACTAGAGAGTCTTTGCGGCAGCATTAGACTACCCGGATCGGGTCAGGAGATTCAGTTGGTCCCGGTGCCATTACGTAACAGCCCCCAGACGCCCCTGGCTTTACTGAAGTCTTTTGGAACATGGAATTTTGTCTGCACATATCCAGGTAATCGCAAGGTTCAGGTACTCTTTATCGTACTAGCTAATTGGTTAGCAATCATGTAGCGACAGTAAAATAACATTTCCTCTGCATATCCATAGTGATTTAACTGAGAAAGTACATGAGTACAGATATTTGAGGACCGTAATAGGTGACAAATTGTACTGGAAACATAATTGTCGAGTCATTCAAAAGAAAACGAGCCAGAGAATGTTCTTCCTCGAGAAACTCAAGAAGTTCCATGTTGATAAAATAATCCTGATACTTTTCTACCAATCAATGATTCCGAGTGTGTTAGCATTCAATATCATTTGCACGTCTGTCAAAGGAACTAAAGGGAAGATTTGATCGCACCTGGAAAATTGCACAGAAGGTTATAGGCTCGGCATTAGTCCCGGTTCAAGCATTGTATGAAAAGCGTCTGTATCAATAAAGATGAAATGAAATGGAAAAGTTTTCAAAACGGTTTTGCGAACGTGTTCCTGTGACAATTGCTATGTGTTAATTTCCTACACTAACCGAATTCTTAACTTCAACCCTGGACCCAAATTTATATCCAACCTTTACGCTAAACCTATTCAGGGAGGTGAGACCTGACCTAATCTAAAACCCAGTTGCAACCATACGCCTAACCCTATACCTTTGACAAAGTAAAGCCCGAGCAAATATCTCAGCTAGATGTCGGATCACCTCTCGAAACGTAATACTTTACTAATATGCATAAAATTATGTCATGCAGATAGAAGATTTACATTTCCTGAGCATATTTCCTTTGCTTCTGTGTGTTGTTTTCTCTGTTATTGTTAACTTCTAGGGAATGGGTGTAACTGAAGTTACATCGACAACCCTTTACACAGATCTGTCCTCGATCAAGGACGACTCTTTCGGGGACAGTTTTAGATCTTGTAACCACCCTTCCTCTCCCATTTACACTAGGGTCAGTTCCGTCCGGCACCACGGTAAAGAACGAAAACAATTTAGGAACAACGACTGGGGCCACTTCTTTGAGGAATAGCGCCATCACATCCTACCCTACAACATCATCAGAACTGTCTACCATTGCTGAAACTCTCATCACATTGGATCGATCGCGTACCCCTTCAGAGCCCGGTGTGGTAGTTGGTGGCAATTGGCCATCTCAGAGCACCCCTGCCACTACGACACCACACGATACCGTAGTGACAACTGATACCGACGAACAGTCTCCAAGCACTTCAACCCATACCACTAGAAGAATGTCTGCAACGGAAGCAGCGTATGTGACCACTGATGCCAGCGGGTCACCTCAAAGCACTTCAGTCTATGACACTACTAGGACATCTACACCAGAGAGAACTACCACAGATTTGCCTGAATCTACAACTTCTTCTGGAAGATACAGTACAACAACTGAACCGATCGATGTGACCACTGATGCCAGCGGGTCACCTCAAAGCACTTCAGTCTATGACACTACTAGGACATCTACACCAGAGAGAACTACCACAGATTTGCCTGACTCTACAACTTCTTCTGGAAGATCCAGTACACCAACTAAAACGAACGAGGTCACGACCGGTAGTTCCAATGCACCCACCACTACTACAGGACAGTTCGGTGGGCCTAGAGCATTACGTTCCTCTATTTTCAAGTGCCATATTCATTGCCATTATACGCGAAAAGTCTATGTGAGCCATTTCTTTTCTATGTTTTTTCAGTAGTTCCTTAGTTCCATGAATAAGTGAAGCGTTGTTTCTCGTTACTAATAATCGATTTGCATTGTGTTGTTGACCAACATCCCGTTTCATCTTGTCTTTTCATTTGCCATTCACGGTATAGCGTCAACGGCGAAGACCACGACTGATGAGGCCAGTACTACTGCAGAACAAACCACTGAGGGGTCGACCACATCAACAGGTATAATGATCTATTTTTGATTGGTCTACTGGAACTATCAGTGGCGTAGCGTACGTAGGTGCATACATGGGGGGGGGGGGTCACTGGTGACATTGGGGGTACCAACAAAAACCATTTACCTGTACCACACTAACGGAGCTATACTAGGCTCAAGACTTCATGAACTTGGGGTTAAGTGTCAAATCAGAGTCTGTATATATACTGTCTGCATATTTTTTCCCATAGTAGTTTTTTAAACATATTATTCTAAGAGTGAGAATCATCATTATTAAAAATCAAAAATCAGATTTTCCCGAACCTCGTTTTCTTTGTCAACGCTTTGACTCACATTATTGCCCATGGTTTTAATGTATCTCCATGTATCATCGTAGGGACGTGCCCTTCCGGTTTCGTCTCGTTCGGGGACAAGTGCTACTTCTTTCCACCGGCTCACCTGACCTCCTACATGAACTACGCCGATGCCGAGGACTTCTGCACCGACGTCGTGTCCGCCGGCCTCGCCGACGACTCTGCAACACTTCTGACTATCAACAGTCTTGAGGAGAACCAATTCCTCATGAGCCATCTTGCCGGAGTTCAGGACACCGTGGATATCGTCGGCAGTGATGGCGTTTGGGTGGATTGTGATCTAAATGGGCGTTTCGACTGCAATCTGGATTATGATTCTCTTCCGTATTATGATTATTACAGTGGTAAGTAGGAAACATGAGCATGTTTATTACCCCAAGGCGTTGTGCACGAGGCGACATTAGGGACTGTAAGATTTGCGCGACGACACAGTGGACTGCTACGTGTGACGTCCTTTTAAGGCACCGTGGCGTCCTTAAGGCACTGTCAGTGCCTTAAAAGGACGTCACATGTAGCAGTCCACTATGTCGACGCGCAAATCTAAAAGTCCCTATTTGGCTGACGGAGGACTGCGTCAGCGATTGACGCGGTCTTTGACGCGCAGTGTGAGCTTGAACCCATACATTACAATGCATATCCGTAGCAGAATTAAGAGGCGCCGCGCCGCGGCGCTTTGAAGTGCTTGTATAGAGTGATATCGTTCAGAAAGAGAACGCATAATGGACAATGCAAACATCGCTTATAATTAGCGAAATAATATGCCCTAATTCAAATCACATGCTCCATTGCTTAGCGCATGTAGTAACGGATTGGCATAAGTGTAAAAAAAGAAAAAAGAAGAACAGTGCGAACAATGCGTGGAATAACAGTACTTACTGGCGCATGCACTTATTTCGTTCACTAGATAGAATAGCGTAAGCCCTTCCCAAAAATGTCCTGTGGTATTTTCTTTGGTATGTCACAGGAATATTTGATACCACAGGGACACGTGTGGTACTGTACAAGACACTCGTTCGGTAATGTTGTATTTCAAGTGGTACACGTACATCGTTACCACACGAAAATGACTCCGGAGTGTCTGAAATCACAGGTATTTGACGTCGTCAAAATGAAGACTTGTGTGTGACAGACTGGGCATACTTAACGCATTGCACACGAGGTTTCATCTCCAGGCGCGGATCCAGGATTTCTTAGGGGCGGGGCAAAATTGAATTTATGCGAGCCAAATATTGGTACGTAATGGTGACCAGTAGTGACGTAATGCGGGGGGGGGGGAGTGGATATAGGGAGGGGCGAGTTTCCCCTCCCTCCTCCGCAAAACGCGAAAGCTTTGACGTTCTCGAAAATAATCCCCGTCTGAATTCAGTTTTTCCCCTCCCGCGCGAAGCGCGATAGCTTCTTTTACGATTAATTAAATCATTAGAGAAAGGATACGATTCGTTGTACAGTTCTCGACTTTTAATCCTCGTCTGAATTCAGGTTCCCACCCCCCCGCGCTTCCTTTTAAATTTCATTAAATCATTGGATAAAGAAGACGATTCGTTGTACCGTTTTCGAAAATGATCCTCGTCTGAATTTAGTTTCTCCCCGCCCCCTCCCGCGCGAAGCGCGAAAGCTTTTACGCTTCATTAAATCATTAGAGAAACAAGACGATTCGTTGTACAGTTCTCGACTCTTAATCCTCGTCTGAATTCAGTTCCCTCCCCCCCCCCCTCGCGCGAAGCGCGGAAGCTTTTACGATTTATTAAATCATTAGAGAAAGAAGACAAATCGTTGTACAGTTCTCGACTCTTAATCTTCGTCTGAATTCAGTTTTCCCAAAGCTTTTACGCTTCCTTAAAACATTAAAGAAACAAGACGATTCGTTGTACAGTTGTCGACTCTTAATCCTCGTTTGAATTCAGGTTCCCCCTCCCCTCTTTTACGCTTCATTAAATCATTAGAGAAACAAGACGATTCGTTGTACCATTCTTAATCCTCGTCTGAATTCAGTCCCCCCCCCCCCTCCCGCGCGAAGCTTTTACGCTTCGTTAAATCATTAGAGAAAAAAGCCGATTCGTTGTACCATTTTCGACTCTTAATCCTCGTCTGAATTCAGTTTACCCCCCCCCCCCCTCCTCCCGCGCGAAGCGCGGAAGCTTTTACGTTTCATTAAATCATCAGAGAAACAAGACGAATCGTATTACCGTTCTCGACTCTGAATCCTCGTCTGAATTCACTGTTCTACCGCGCAAAGTGACGTTTCATAAGATTATGAGAGAAAGAAGACGATTCGCTGTACCGTTCTCGACTCTTAATCCTTGTCTGAATTCAGTATCCCCACTCCTGCGCGAAGCGCGGAAGCTTTGACGTTTCATTAAATTATTAGAGAAAGAAGACGATGCGTTGTACCGATCTCTACTCTTAATCCTTGTCTGAATTTCAAAGATGTTAGTTGTCTGCTCCTTTTTCTTCATTCGAGCTCGAGGCTGTAAATTTAGGAATTCGTCATTTTCCAACAAACACATAAAAAGGTATAATTTACTAACAAGTGAGGAAAAATCTCGGAAATTATGTCATTTCAGCATTATTTGTAATCCACCGTTATTGAATTAGAAATAAACCACATTCGAATTTGATTTCCCCCAAGCCTCCCCCCTCAGTTCGCCAGTATCTCCTCTTTTCATTTTTCTCTCTTATTATTTGAATTGGGGGGGGGGGGGGGCAACAGCATGGGAGGCAAGGCCCTTTCGCCTCCCCCCCCCCCCCCATCTCCTTCTGCCCCTTTTCTTTTCTTCTTCTTCCTCTTCTTTCTTTCCCTTTCTCTCCTCTTTCCCTTTCCCTTCTTTTGCTTTCTTCTCTCTTTTTTTTTCCGGGGGGGGGGGGGGGGGAGGCCCGCTCGCCCCCCCCCCCCTCTGGATCCGCGCCTGCATTTCAAACGCTTTATTATCTGTGTTAATCGAGCCTTCGAAAGATATGGGTCCGCGTATTCGTCAATAATTAGTACAAGCATTGTTTACACATATTGCATTCATTTTTTGTGCGATGAATACCCAATCATGGTGCCATTAACGAAGACGCAGTTCTACGTCGGGCAAACGATGCACCTCGCGTGCAACGACTCAAATTAATGTCTAAATAAAAATCTGAACTATGCTAGTCTGTGAATCAATTGGTCACCAGAAAACCAGTTGATGTTTTAGTAATTACTTGCTAGCTGTCACTTGAATCACACGTACGAAGTTGCAAGCGAAATCTGTTTGCAGTCACATTATACTTCTTCAAAAAAACATCTAGTACTTAGAATAATTGACAACGCCTCGTATCCTAGAAGAGGTGCAAAATAATCCAGTTATTATCATCATCGTCATTATTATATATATTATTATCATCATCATTATTATATATATTATTATCATCATCATTATTCGGCTCGAATTAATGTATTCACACTTTCCTGTATATGAATTTCATATACTCTACTGCAGGTTGGGATAATCTCTACGTCATCCTGTCTCTCGACGATGGGCTCTGGTACAATGATTGGGGCTCTAATTTGGCTTTCGTTGTCTGTCAAATCACTCAAGACGTAGGCCTACTGCAGGTTGGTACATTTGTACTCTGAAGAACTAGAGGGTCGTTGGGGCCATTCTCCATATCATGGGAGTTATAACGACAGGCCGTGGGGTAATGAGCAACCACTCTTGGGGGGGGGGAGGGGGGGGGGCAAAAGTGAGGAAAAAAATCCGGGAAGTCATGTCATTTCAGCAACATTTGTTCGAAATAAGCCACGTTTGATTTTATTTTTATTTTTTTATTTTGTTTGGGGGGCACCTGCTCCCCAAGCCCCCCCCCCCCCCCCCATCAGTGCACCAGCGACGAAAGGGGTGGCTATTGATTTAATCCAGCGACTTAAATACAGGCAGTATATTATATTTGTTTTATATACTTGAGTCATATATTTATTGTTCATTGATAACCATGCCTGGAGGAATGTAACGGGGAGAAAAGGACGAGTGCCACAGATCATAACATCTGAGAGGAGAGCTGAAGGGGTGGAGTAAAGGCGATCATAGTCAATTAAGTCATCGAGAAAACTAAAATGGCGTTTTTGTACATAATCTTTGAAGAAATTTATGAAGTAAGAGCGGAAATACATTAATCGTAGTTTTAATTTCTTCTTCGCCCTCCTTTTTCTGGTACTGCCACTTCTGCAGGGTTCATGAATAAATATGTGGGGTATAGTAATACAACTTTCATAGATAATGACAATGAAAAATATGAAGTATAAGGACTGGTATTATGTATTTTTAAAGTATAGTTTTGTTGATACTAGCGTGGCCTATAAAGACGTGTGTGTGTTTATTGATATTTCTGTCGGATCTGTGGGATATAAAGACAAAATTACATAATAAATACATTTAAGAAAAATAAAGATGTAAATATATATATATATATATATATATATATATAAAGACAAAACCCAAAAGTTATATTCAATATCTATTGCGGGGCGGGAGTTGGGTTCAGAATGTTGTAAAATCAATTAGAATTATGATACATTGTATCTTCGTATTTGACTGGCCTAGGTGCTGCCTCCTTGTACAAAGTAGTCATTAAATGTTTTAGTAAATATGTGGGTTTGATTTCCATCAATATTCATCAAATTAGATTTTTTTTGATTTTTTTTATTTATTTATTTTTTTATTTTTTTTAAATATATATATATTTTTTAAATTTCCTGTCCATAGTGTACTGCCTGGATTCTACGTTCGGCTCTTTCCTTTGTAAGAAACTTGCTAAACATACACAAGATATCCATTCTCCCCTTATTTTTTATTTATATGCAGATTATGTTTTCATGATGGTTTGGCGCCAATCAATATATTTGTTTTTGCTTGTATTTTAATTAGAAACATATTTTGTCAAACTTACATGTTATTCATTATATTAATTTGTATGATGCTTCTTTGTATTGATGTGAAAAGGTGGAAATAAAACAAACACACAAACATATTTATTAGTATTAATAAATTGTGTACTGTGTCAAAGTACACTTTTTTCTGCACTTCGTTATTAATTAGGTATTTTGTTGTGGGAAAATTCGTGTTTCTAATTGATGTCAAATTTCCTTTCGCTATATAACAAAACGTTTATTAAGTCTATAAGAAATGTGTTTCTATATCGTTAACATATAAGTACACACAAGAGTTTGATAAAGTAGATGGAGAAACTGTATTTTATTAATTTTCATCACGTTATTCAAAATAGAAATGAAACAAAGGAACAAAACAAAACAATTGTACAGTGTGCATATAGAACAAAATACAATGGTTAATTACACGCAGGTCAACCAAAACCTATAATATACTA